TGGATGATAAACATTTGTATCAATTCAACTAAACATGGGCATAGTAACAATATTTTTATACTACATTTATCCATTTTAAATATACTAACCTCACTCCTTCGTAACAACTAAGGCAAAAATGTAATTAATTCAGAAAATATTTTCAGGACCCCACATTATGAACGCATGTACTTATTTTTTAAGATATTTTCTAAAGATTTAATTTTATTTTTTTACTGCATAAGTGGGACAGTTTCTTGCTGCCCATCCACGCTGTATGAATCTTGACCGCTAGTAACCTCTCTGACGTTCCCGCTGCCCCAGCACGCGCCACCTCCGTAGCTCCAATCACTGACTGAGAAACACCGTGACGTAGGCACACATCTTCCGGTCTGGCACCAGTGGCCCGGTATTTCACAGATTTACGTATTTTTTTAATTGGTTTTACTCCGTACTCAAAGCTGTGATTTATTACCAGCATTCCAGTCTTAATAATTCATGTGAATATTGTGTCGGAGCTGTGATTGCGAGGGTAAAACTACCGGCGTTCGTCCTGCAGCCGCTCAGGAATAACGAGGAGAGGAGGTGAGGAGGATGTGTTGCTGTTAGCGCTTTGCAGATGTTCGCGTGAGGAGATGAATTAGCCACCGGGTTACTAAACGGCGCGGTGCTTTTTTTATGTAGCCACTCGTTTGTGCGAAGCATCTTTTGCGCCGATATTCAAATTATCGAGTAAATGTGTAAGACTTGAAAGGTTTTCTTTTCATAACAAACGCTGCGACGTGTTTCTTAAACTAAAGGTTGCAGTTTTGCTAAGCTGCTGGTGTTTGAGAGCAATCTGCTAACAGCTAAACTCGCTAACGCTAAAAGAAAATGTCCTGAAATGCAGAACAGGATGAAATCTCGACTCAGTAATTACACACACAGTGATTTAATCTTATCTGTAGCCACTGCTGTTAAAGGTAGCCTACAGATACAACAATAATAATGTGTCATCAGTGCGTACCGCGCATAAATAATAGGAAGGAGAAAAGGAAGGGGACTTTTCAGTTCATCAGAAAAAGCCAATTAAAGTATAGAAGAAGTGCGTTAAGTGTTACCAGGTTTAAATGTTTGGCTCATTTTGGTGCCATCCTCCAATCCTGGTGCTATTGAACTAAATATTAATTTTGAGCAGTATTCTTAACATAACTTATAGTAAAAAAAAATTAAAAATCCAACATTGTATGTTGGATGTTGTACTGATAATAGCCAGTGTACTACAACTTTGTAAAGCAAAAGTGACGAAAGCACAGAAAACACGTTCTTGTTAAACTGTTTTATAAACCTTTGTTGAAAGTTTTACTTTCACTTGAGTACAACTATTTCCCTGTTCAAACTGTGCAGAACACTAAGCAACTTTTATGACTTTAATTTATTGGTTTTTAGGTGTGGATCTAACTCTGGGCTCTGTGTCAAGACTAACCAACATCATAAGGGATTGGCTTTAAAAAGAAGATAGAAATTTACTCATAAAGTGCTGTCTCGTAACCATCACTGATCTGTGTGTAAAAGATCACACTTTTTCATCTTCGCTACAACTGTAGCTAGGGGAAAAAAAGGTGTGTCTTTCTCTTTTGTAAGTAAACTGTTAAAACTTAAACCTGTAGTGCCAGTGTTAAACTAAGCTAGTGTGAGATTTTGAGGTCTTGGCTCTAGGTGCATTTTGTTTRATCTTCCCATGTACAGTCAATTTTTGTCGGTTGGTTGTGGTATGTAAACTGCTGCAGAACAAGTGAGACACGTTCATCCTGTATGTTGGTTCTTGGACTGGGAAATGTCGTTATTAGTTCGACTTTCTGCACCGTTAAATTTTATTTCTTATGTGTAAATAAACAAATAGCCCCACTTTATATACAGAAATTTAGAACCAAGTTTTCTCTGCAGCCTTTTAGTCTGTCTTGGGACTTGGGTTGCTTTTTGACCTTTTTGTTTTATTGTACTTTTTGCTCCAGTGTGTTTGTTCATGATGGCATGTTTTGTAGAATGTGTTTAAATCTTTTAATAGGGCGGTCAGATGCAGAACAAACAGAATTTGAAAACCGAGTCTTTAAAGAATAGGAAAAGATCGAACAGACTTGAAAGGTGCATCATCCTTCACCAATATATCAAGTTTTTAACCAACTGCTTTGGAAGTCATCTTGTTGGCGCTATAGTATTATTCAATATGTCAAACTGGGTTGAATTTTTCAGACATTGAACTAAACAATGAAACCATGTTGTCACTGCGACAGTTTGCTAACAAAGTGCCTATTCAAAAACTGGTTCTTGGCTGAGTTGTCCATTGTGTGCAGTTAAGATTACAAGAGAGTCTGGCTTCTTGGAAGCAAAATGTGAAGAAATGACAGGTCACGAAGGGTTTAGCACAGAACTATTTAAATCTAGTTTAATAATAAATGCTACTAATTTGAAAAAAATAAATTAAAAATGTGAATGGCAATTTTCTCATTTTGGGCTGAAGCTTTTGCTGAAGCCTATCCTGTCCTGGAACAGAGTTTAGTGCAGTGCAAATCACCCATTTGCCTTTGGCAATCTAGCTTAATTTTTTATTTGTATTTTTCCTTGCATTAATTTTCTTGTAGCCCGAGTTTTGTTCATATGTGCAGCCAGCCTCATCAGCTTATGCTATTTCTTCACATTGTCGCATTAGCTGGCAGCTGGGGTGTGCCAACCTCAGTCTTGACCTCTGGGCCTCTCTCAGTAAGCTGCAGTTAGGCTCAAAGGTTACAGGGCCACGTTGCCCTCCTTAAGCACACGCTACAAATAGCAGAGCACTCTGGGAAGGCAATCTGAGGTGATCCAAACAGTTATAGTCTAGCCAAACATCTTAAAGCATCACCAACTTAAAGCATTATAACCTAAAACAACCTAAAGTAAAATAAAAAAAAATTCACATGGTATCATTTTGCTGCAAACAGTACACAATGTATTCTTCCTGTAATGCAGAGAAGCGGTGTTGAGGGAAGTTCTGCTTGTTTAAGCAGTCTGGATTTTTTTTAAGTGTATTTGATTCTGCAGAAAATAGAGAAATGAATGGTGCAAAATTCTGCATTGTTTCTAGAGCACAAAAGAAGAAAAGCTTTTTTGGATCTGATTTAAAAAAAACACTCTTTAGCTTTTATGTTAAATCCTCATTAAGCTGATTGATTCAGCAGCTTCATATTTTCTCTGTAATATTGTTCTTTGGAAAGAGAAGAACGTCTGGTGAAGGGAAAAAGTGCTGACTGGGAATTGGTCTAAAAATAGACTGAGGTCTTTATTCAAGCAGGGATTTACTTACCGGGATGCTGTAACTCACATTTGCTGAAACTCTGTGTTTCAAAATGTGCTGATTCATTTTCAGTACGGACCATACCTCTAAAATTCCATATTCTTTTTTTTTTTTTTCAGGTTGCTTTGCCTCACAAAAATATCTTACCACCTTCTCCTACATATACTGTGGGCAGCAGATCAGAATACTGAGCAAAGAAGAGACGGTCCGTTGTCTCTCTTAAGGGTTTGATTCACCTCCAGCTTCCACTTCATCCCCGAAGATGAAGTTGAAGGAGGAAATAAACCCGCTGCTCCTGCAGGTGTTTCGCTCTGTCGTTTGGGTCTACTCTGTCATCACCTTTATACCCTGGTACTTCTTTTCCGGGGCTGGCACCAATTTGGAACGAGCCCGCCGGATAAAGGCCCAGTCGGTCAGCGGACTCCCAGCTGGACCGTACAGGGCCACCAATAGCCTGGAGAAGTTGGTAGCATGGTTGAACCCTGGCGTGGACACACTGGACAAGATGTTTGAATATGCTGCAAAGAGGTTTCCAGAGAGAGACTGTCTGGGCAGCAGGGAGGTGCTCAGCGAGGAGGATGAACTGCAGCCAAACGGCAAAGTGTTTAAAAAGGTAAGAGTCTTCAGTCTCCTTATTTACAATGTTTCATTAATTAAATGCAAGATAATGTTGCAGGTGTGTAGTCAGGCCAAAGAGTTGCTCCTGTGGTGTTATTTGTGTTTGGAACTGATTTATGAAGTAAATCTGAGTTCTTTCTCTGACACTTCACTCAGTGAGTAACACAGGAAGAGGCAGCAGTGACTCACTTGAGTTTTACAGCTGAATGAATACCTGAATGACAACAAAAGCCCTGTAGATGGCAGTAACTGACTGCATATGAGTGATGACACATCACCAGGACCAGCATGAGTCATTTGCAGATTCTCCTTTTTCTGTGTTTCCACAATTGTCTTCTTCATGCCTCTTTTCTCAAAATTTATTGTAAAAGTTTTTTAAAAAAAAGTGAATATATTCTCACCATTAGTGTCGTCACATTGACTAAAACTGTTCTTGAAGGTCTTGGTAGTGCATGTAAATGAACTGATGGTGCACCTGTGCATGTTTTGTGTAGGTAATTCTCGGGGACTATAAATGGCTCTCATATGAGGAAGCCTACCATGTGGCAAAGTGCTTTGGCAGCGGTCTGACTGCTCTTAATCAGAAGCCCTTCTATAACATCGCCATCATTTGTGAGACCAGAGCTGAGTGGATTGTGGCAGCACAAGCCTGCTTCATGTACAATTTCCGTCGTAAGTGTTCAAGGACAGACGTGGATGTTTATACATTCTACATTACTAATCAGGGTACATTTAAACTAACCAGCTGAACCGTGACTGAACTTCACAGTTGTGACACTCTACGCCACTCTCGGGCCCAAGGCCATCGCTCATGGCCTGAATGAGACCGAAGTCACGCACATCATCACGAGCAAAGACCTGCTGCAGGGCCGCCTGAAGGTACCTGATGACAGGTTTTGTCTTTCATGTAAATGTTGTTGAACTGTGTTGCTGAATGATTAAGGCTTAGCTCAATTTCCTTAATTATATTTTTCTCACCCTTGTCATTTTTTTTTTCCTTTTCTCCTTACTTATATTTCGGTTGCAGGCCATTCTATGTGATGTCCCCAAGTTGCAGTATATCATTGTTGTGGACAGCAAGCCTACAAGCTGGTCAGACATGCCCAGAGGCATCACTGTCTATAACATGGAGGCTGTACAAGACCTGGGATCCAAGCCGGAAAACCGTGAGAATTTGTGATTAAAACCGTTTCTAATTTTGTCAGGAACATTGAAGTACACCAAAGCAGGCTTAATACAAATCCAACGCGCTGATATGCAATTAGAGTGATGCACAGTGCACAACATAGTCAGCAAATCACCACTTACAAACACACAGTGGTCTTGATGAGAGTGTCCAAATTTAAAGGGAAATTAAGGGGGGCAAAGAAATGATAATGGTGCTTAAGAATCACTTCAGCCAAAAGAGTAATTATGCAGATGATTGCAGTGATTTAAAATATTGAAAGCAACTGGTAAATTTCATTGTAGAGGCTTGTGCAATGACAGTAAAGACTATTCTATTCTACTCTAAAGATCTGATTGTAGAAATTTAAAAGATAGTTTAGTATGTTTAAGTGGGTCTCTGTGAAGTAGTTTGTGTCTTTACCTAGTATAAATTGTGGTCTGTAAACTTCAAGTTTCTATTTCATTTGAATTAAAATACTATACACTTATTTTACAAGTAATGATGATCATGTTGTTGTATGGGGGTAATCCTTTTTACATCTTTGCTCTGCAGTTGCAGTAGAGCGCAAACAGCCGAAGCCCTCAGACATCGCCGTCATCATGTACACCAGCGGCTCCACGGGCATTCCCAAGGGTGTCATGATCTCCCACGGCAACATTGTCGCCGGCGTTGCGGGCATGGCCGAGCGAATCCCTAACCTCAAGTACGTAGATATCAGTTTCACTTCCTGTCTTATTCTTGTTCTGTTTTTTTAATAACTTCAGTAGAAAAAAGAACTTAATATTAGTTTCTTAATTTCTTCATCATCAGTGGTTTTTTACGTAAAGAGAAAATAGAGAAAGAGGGGAAAAACAAAGAGAGAAGTAATTA